TGAAGGAGGAGAGCAGTGTGACCTGTATGTTTCTGTCTTGGGATTGATTGACTCTGACTTGGAAGGTGAAATTAATTGAAGCTTGTCTTGAAATGAGTCATTTATTTTACATCCCTTTCCTCTGCAGAGAATGAACTGCAGAGTAAGAGTTTTGTCTTTTTTCACTAGGAAACTTTTACACAGGCTGTTTATCATGAGGGTAACACACTGCCCTGCTGAATCCACTCAGCTTATTTATCTTGCTTTTCCAAATGCCACCACAGGCGAGTGGAATTTAATCAGCAGGATTGAAACCTGAGCCATCCAGTACTGCTGCTCTCTGCCCAGTTCAGGGTGGGTGATGTCTGATGGTCACCCACCAGCAGCCAGAGGAGCCAGTGCAGCAGAGGAGAGAGCTGCTCTGATTCCCTCTCTGTTGGGGGAGAGATCAGTGCACTGGGGCTTGGGCCCGTTCTGATACTCTGTTGAGCATTTAGTAGTCCCAAGCAGTCTCTGCCTTGCTTGTGTCATGAAAAATAATCTGTTTTGCTTTTTCACGTGTGATCTAGATATGCAAGAACTGTACAGGCTGCTTTGACCGACAGATCCAGTGTGTCTCCCTCAACTGCCCAGTACTTTTCAAGCTCTCCAGAGTAAGCAGAGAACTGTCAAAGGCACCGTATCTTCGCCAGCTGCTTGACCAGTTTTAAATGATGTGTGTTACAAGATTCCAGGTGCTATTTTTTTTTCCTTCAGTGTTTACCACACTAAGACTATTGTGCATGGTGCTTTTTCAATTCTCATCTAGTCCAGGATTTCCATTTTAACTGTTGGGTTTATCTGAGGAATAATGAACACTTACCATAACTAAACTTAAAAAAAACCAACCCATTTGTTGATCTCTGAATAGCTCACTTTTTAAGATGTACAAATTTCTTCTTCCTTTCATGTTTCTAGCATACTGTTTTATAATGCTGATGTTGAAATAGCTCTGTGTAACATCTTGTAAATCCATTTCAAAGTAGAAGTCAAGTTTTACTTCCTGGAGGAAGGAGCACTGAAAACCTCTTGAAACGATAAACCCATTCGTGTGTGTTCTTGAACTGTCAGTATCAAGACGTGTTACTTATATATTATCCATTCACTTTATAATTTTGTCTGCGAAATACTTTGTAAATACACTTTTTTACTTTTCAAACAACTGAGTAAAATAATGTGCAATGACTTTTATACAGATAATTTTAAAGTTGGTTGGTATATCTCCTCCTAAGTTTTGCTTGATTCCAAGTAGATTGTTATTTTGATCAGACTGTGCAAGCAGTAGTACCGTGTGTAGCATTTTGAAACATTATTTTCTAAAAATTGCTGTCTTGCTTTAGCTATTAATGGGGCATTGTGAGGAACTGTGCAAAGACATTTTTGTTACAAACCTGTGGGACTGTTGCAATACTTTAAATATAAAATTTTATTCCATTTTTGCTTGTTTTGTATAGACATTTCTATTGCTTCTAAATATGCTTAAAATATTTTCTTTCCTTATGTACTGTACAGTTAAATCTTATTTGCCACCATCTTGACAAAATGTGTATTTAGAATATTTGTATAACTGTATAAAATGGAAAAGGAATTATGTGGTCAGTGCATTGTTTTCTAAACTGGAAATCATTTTGTTTTAGAAGTTAATAATGGAAACCATATTAAAGTTGAATAAAATGATATGGTAAAAAATTATATGTTTTTTTTTCCCCCCCAATTACAGACACCTTTGTTTCCCTTGCCTGGCATACACGGAGTACTGGAAACAAGACTGCTCAAGTAAGAGTCAAGAATCCAGCTTAAACTTGAGGATCTAAAACCACAGTAGCAATTCTTGGAGGCCTTTCCCAAACCAGAAGAGAAACATTTCCCTTTTCCATTAGTCAAAACAGGATTCTAAATTTTAAGTTTTAAATTTAGAGGTCCAGAGTAGCTTTGAAAAATAGAACAAAACTTTATTTACATCAGGAAACCTGAGTGCCTTCTGCAGATAAGAATTTATTACAGTCAGGACACAGTCTATTAAATTTCACACTAATTACAGTACAATGTAAACCCCACACCAAGCAGAATAAAAACTATTAAATATGTAATAGAACATCCAAAGATTACAATGCACTTGGATGCAAAGTAACTTTTTAAAAAAAGAATTCATGGAGGCATAAAATTTTGCCTCTGCTCTTGCATTCAAGCGTTGGTCATGTAGAGAATAAAAGTGCAAATGCCAGGAGTGTGAGTGCTGCGACACAATCCAGTACTTGGCAGTGCTGCCAGGGATTCCTAAAGTATTAAATGACAACTGCAAAAGGTTAGTTTTCGCACTGGAGCGAAGTGCTCATCTTCAATCAATTCCTGGCTTTAGGGACAAGATTAGGATTCTTAGCAAATTCAGGTAGCTAAACCACAGCCTACAGCTCTTGTCTTCAACACAGAGAAGACTTTTCTAGCAAAAGCAGGCCAGTAGGAATGTAATACAGTTTACTTCAAGTCATTTCAACCCCTAACAAACATATAAGTACTTCAGCATTCCTGGAGGACCTGTAACTTAAAAGGCACTGTAAACAGATCCATCCTGAAAACAGATCCTCACTAACTGTATACACCGGGAAGCAGTTTTCTTTGGAAGGAAATTTAAACGTGTGAAAACTAACATTCATTGTCTAACATTCATTGTCTAAAAACAAGCCTTGTAGAACACCAAAATCCAAGAATGGGGAAAGCTAAGGCTATAGCTTCAGACACTCCCACATCAAGGGCACCTAGAACTGCTGCGAGCTGGACTCACCAGTGGGAATGTCCTCGAGCTTGGTTCAAACTTACGCTGCTTCCAACATTCAGTTTTCATTCCAGGGCAGGCCCTGCTATTCCAAACAGGCTGGTTAGGGGATAAGGAGAACACTGTCTCTGAATATATCCCAGTTCAAGTTTGAGACCAGAACTAAGACAGTCAAGGCTTTTGAGGCCTCACTAAGATGACTCTAAATTTGGATGTCTAACATGATTCTACACATTACCATTCAAGATAATTCTGCAAATTCCACTGTCTTACGGCCACTGGTGTTGGCTGCTCTTCCCTTGGCATTCCAGCCTGTTACTACTACACAGGCCTCCTGCTTTTAGAAGGGGGAAATGGAGAAAAATCCAACTTATGCAGGAATTAATACAGCCAGTAAAAAAAAAAAACCAAGAAAAATCTTTGTTTTGCGCAATGTTTTTCCATTTGTTGGGAAGACACTGGTCAGAAGCACAAATCTGTGTGTACATACACAGCAGATAAGCTTCAAAGAGGTTACAGCATATTTCCCAATGTAGCTTTGCTCTAATTTTCGGGGGGTTTTCATACTTGATTATGCAATAGATGTAAACTATCCCTGAGAACAATCTTATGTGCAGGACATTCCAATCTGCCATTTCATCAAAAATTAGTGTAGGAATTGGGGATATTTAAAATCTTCCTGATTGCCCAGTGGATTGGATTTCTTTAAATAATTTTCTTCTATCAACATGATCTCAGGTATGAGGAAATATTTTTACATCGATGTGCATTCAGCTGAAGCCTGTGGATTGCAGCTACAGAGTAGTTTCTGTATCTTTTAGTGTGTCCTTCACCAACAGGATGTCCACACTCTCAGCTAACACCCCTACTTTACACACATAGAGCCATTCCTGCAGTCTGCAAGAGGAAAAATGGGAGAAGAAAAACAAGAGCTGGCAGGCTGCAACTTCTGTGCCTTCCAGCCACTCTCTCTGCCTACCAGGCCTTTGTTTGCATGGCAAACCAACTAAGTGCACAAGGCCACAGCGACTCACTCCTGCTGCCTGTACCTAGGACAGGACTCAGCCTGGTATTTAAAAGCATTTACCATTAATATAAGCAAAAAAGAGAACCTTTGTGCCACAGGTGAAACAAGGCCTCATTTTAAAGTGCAGGTTCATGCATTGCACTGGAAAAGCTGCCACAGAAGGAATCTGGCAAAAACAGAATGGCATTGTGGTGCCAACAGCAGAGGGTGGGGAGGACCTGCAATGTGGCAAGGTGCAAGCAAAACAGAATAGGCATTTTTCACTACAAGTTAATTCTGGCTTCTTACTAACCTCTCAGAAGAAAGGAAAAAGCCATGTCAGCCTAGGTTGCACACTTGGAGGACAAGACATCTTTAAGGTCTCTTTCAACCCAAACCATTCTATGACTCTGATAATTGTACCGTCTTCTACATACACTTACTGATTTCAGAGGTAGTGCCATAATTAAAATCACAAATACTTTAGCCTATTTAGATGTCATCACTGTTCAGTAAGTCAGTTATGCATTGGAGCAGATTAACAATGACCAGTTTTGTCCACCATCCCATAAACTGCTTTCAAATGACCCAAAGGCATGGTTCCACTCCTAAGAAATAATTTCCAGTTTTTTCTCATCTTAGGAACAGAAACAGGAATTTAGACAGTTTACCAAAAAGATTACTTGATTTACAGCCACTGGGCACCACCTGAAATTTGAACTGATTTCCTGATCACATACAACTCTAAAATGCAGTAGAAACATTCCTCTTTCACAAGGTAAAAAGTTCAGCATCACAGACAACAGATCTCTTTCTTCTCTCATGAAAACATTTTGTGACAAAGCACCTTAGACCTGCACCTTTCACCCACCCCAAAAACCTGGATGGTCTGTGCAGTCCCTTTCTTTCTCCATTATTACAGCATATCTTACTTACATGCATGGCTCACACTTAGAAAACATCTCTTTATGTGTTAACATTTTTGGCATGGCCTGTACATTTACCGTGTTACCCATTCATGTCATCAAGGACTTTCCCACTCCGAGACACATCGCTGCAGGCTGAAAATGAGTAGAAAGGGACAGGCAAATGAACATGCTGAGCTCTGCACCACTATGAAAAACTCCTGAACCACTTCACTTTACAACAACAGCTAAAACTCAATTGCATTTCCGTTTTAAAAAAATAAAGTCAGCTTTGACTTTAATCACTCTTCTCCAAGTCAGCATTCCCATTCTGTCTCCCAGGGGAGTCACCAGCAACCACTGAAGAATCTCCCAATACATCATCCACATGGGGCTGGAGGGAGACTTCAGCTGGAGAGTCCTCTGGTATCTTAGGGGAGGTGTCTGTCAGAGAGTTTTTCAGCTTGTCATTCATTTCTATTACCTCAAAGTCTGCTTCATTCCACTCTCTCACTTCCTCATCCTCCTCATCATCCTCTTCATCCTCAGTAAGCCTCGAGTTTGACAGCAAAGCTTTGCGGGAGGCAGTGTCACTCAGTTCTTTCAAGTCTTTCTTGGGGGGACAGTTGGCCAATTTGTACATGATGGGGAAGAGCAGGATGGTCATTACAGAAGTCCCAAAGGCAGTGTACATAACCACAGGAATGTGGTGAAACCTGCCCTGGAGATACCCGACCATGGCAGGGATGCACATCTCACCCAGCGCGGCGCCGACCACAAACAGAGACGCTGATTTTCCTTGCACGACCGTGTACTGCTCTATCCAGGAAATGCCACTGGGGAAAACAGTAGCCATGGAGCCTCCATACACAGCACTCCCCACCCACAGCGAGGTGCGGTAATGCGCAAAGAAGGCCAAGGCCAAAGAGGAGACAGCAGAGCCTAAGAGGCTCAGCAGGATCATGGTGCCAGGGTACAAGAAAGCAGCACCGAATATTGCCACTCCTCTGCAGGCAGCAAACGCACCCCAGAAGACAGAATTCAAAGCAGCTGCTTCGTTTTCTTTCATGTCAGCAAAGACCTTTGCATACGTGAATATGTAAGAGCCATAAGTGACCTCTGCTCCCACATAGAAGAAGAAGAATACAAACAGGAGACCAATTAGAGCATAGTGGTACCTGGCAAGCATGCTCTCCTGCAGAGAAGTCTTTGATTTGTCTCGAGCTGAGCTACCCTTTGAATATAAAGCAAAGAAGAACACAGAAACCAAGAGGATATAGGTCCCTATGACAATATAGGACCACAAAAAGTCTTCCTCAAGATGGTCTGGCAGTGCTGGTGTAGCTGATGCAGCCGATGCTGTGGGCACAAGCTTCAGGACAGACTGGTTTGTCTTTTCAGCCACATCGAGTTCTTTAGATTCAGAACCTCCCAAGGCCATTTTAGCCAGGATTGGAGCCACAAAGGCACCAGCAGCAAAACTGAAGTGTAAGGCCTGCATGTGTGGCCCAGCATCTGCTCCCCAGGTGTTCAGTACCAGTACATTGCCACCTGCGGATCCAAGAGAGGAGGATTCAGTCACTTTAGACCAGAACAGGTACCAGTTTACAGAAAAAAAAAAAGACAAACCAAACCATAATCTGTAATTCAATGTGTAATAATACCACATTTAGCAAATACAGTGTGCAAAATGGTAGTTAACTGGAATTCTGCCTTAAATCCATGTGAGTACTTGAGCTTTCAGAGGATGTTCACAGCAGTCAGAATGTGGAGCCACACAGTGGCTTAATCCAGTACCTATGGCTGTATGTAATTGTGCCAGTGGAGGTTCAAATTGGATATTGGGAAAAATTTCTTCACAGAAAGGGCTGTCGAGCATTGGAACAGGCTGCCCAGGGAGGTGGTTGAGCCACCATCCCTGGAGGCATTTAAAGGATGTGTAGATGTGGCATTAGGGACATGGCTCAGTGGTGGACTCAGCAGTGCTGGGCTAACAGTTGGACTCGATGACCTTAAAGGTCTTTTCCAACCTCAATGACTCTATGGTTCTAAATTACCCTACTTGTCAATTTGCAGCATTTTGCAGCCTTTTTTAAAAGAGCATATTTAACTGTTTCTCATTTCTCTACGTTTTAAAAGCAGCAACACACAAGGCTAGGAATCAGAGTCCTCATTAAACAACATCCCAGGACACATCACTAATCAGTTGCTTCTGATGGGCTGGGACTACTCCAACTGTTCAAGTGACTTTCCAGAAACAGAAAGGTTTACATCAATATCACTGCAACGACCAAACTACAACACCTTCAGATCAACAACAATACTGGAAAACAAGATCTCAGATGTTTTGAAGTAGTCCCTCAGAGGGATGTAGGAAAGTAAGAACAGTAATCGAATTCCTCTGCTGTAGTACAGCAGCTCTTGTCACTCAGCACGAACACTCTTCCAAATTAATTCAGTTATGCTCTACCACCTTGCTTTTACTTTCTTCTGCTATTCCTACTCAGGTTGGGAATTCTCCCTGCCTCTGAGGTCTGACTTCCAAGCAGCACACCCACCCACTGAAGGTTATCTTTACCATCAGCCAACAGCATTTTCCCATACAAAGTATTTTTAAACCAAGTTCCATGTATAAGGATCCTGCCACAGGCAGCATATACACCTCTGCACTCAGGTTGTTTAGCATGAAACCATCTTTTCACTGCTGGATCCTGTCTTGTGCCCATTTTAGTCTTTCCAGAGCTCCCTCAAACCCCACTGAAGCACATATTGGTGTTCTCCACACAGCAAGAGACACTCCCCAAGCCCCTAAAGGAAGGCCTATCACAGACACACAAACACTAGAAGTCACAGGACCAGATTAATCCAGGAATCCCAGCCAAGCTAAACAGCTACCCTCTTAATTCAAGATGTGTCACAAGAAAAACCAGCAACCATTCATGGTTCACTTGAAGTTTCCAATTATTTTGGTGAAGGAACTGTCGGACCACATGGTCCCTTACCTGTGTCCAGAATTCCCATGGAACCTCCAATAACTGACATCAAGATAGTCAAGAGCAGGGCTTCCTTACACCAGGGTATGGCATAAAGACCAGCTGTTGTTGCAAGCAAGGATAATGCTGGAAAGGTAAAAAAAAACAAAACAGAAACCTCACATACTACATTTTCCATTTAAACTACACAGAAGACCGAGAAATACATATACATTCATAATTATTAAAGTTGCAGATAATCCTAATAGGTGATGCAAGCCAAATACCTCAATCCATGATTAGCAGTGACAGAAAGAAAGTTTGACAGATCACTTTTCATTTGGGAAGAAAAAAGGCATTTCATCAGAATGTAAGCACTGAGTGACAAACCTGTTTGGCCAAAGCAAAGGGAGTAGCAGCTGCTGGTAGGACACTGAAGTTTTCTGCAAACTTCTGATCTAGAAATGCTACCCAGTAAAGCACAGGTTTCATAGTTTCATAGTATGTTAAGGAGTTGGAATGGACCTTAGAGATCATCAAGTCCGAAGAAAAAAGGCATTTCATCAGAATGTAAGCACTGAGTGACAAACCTGTTTGGCCAAAGCAAAGGGAGTAGCAGCTGCTGGTAGGACACTGAAGTTTTCTGCAAACTTCTGATCTAGAAATGCTACCCAGTAAAGCACAGGTTTCATAGTTTCATAGTATGTTAAGGAGTTGGAATGGACCTTAGAGATCATCAAGTCCCAACTTCCACCAGATTGCTCAAGGCAAGGTTCATCCAAGCTGGCTTTGAACACTGCCAGGGTTGGGGCAGCCACTGCCTCCCTGGACAACCTGTGCCCATGTCTCACCACTCTACTGTTTTAACAGTATGAAGTTTGCCCTCTGATCACTGCATGGTGTTTAATTTGGCTCCATTTGAAAACAACCCAAACCACTAAACTCTTAAAATCCTACAAAGGAATAGTACCTTGGCCACCAAGAGACCTCCATATAAAGATGCTGACTTGCATTTAAATTGTGTTCTCACATGAGGGATGTATTCCAAGGGATTTCTGGAGTTTTAAGAGACAGAACTACTAAATTTCTCATCAAAAATTTAGCAAAAATTCATTAACTGAGTTATTCTGCCATTACTGACTACATTTACAACATACCATATCAAAAATTATTTTTAGCAGATGGAAATAATTTTTGTTACTATTTGGAGGTTAAATTCTATGCTTATAATCACCTTCATAATAAAACACTCTGTGATTAATATCTTGAATATATAGCATTGGGTTTTTAGAAAACTTGTACCAGTCCAGATGTCTCTATTATTTTTCAAATCAATGCTTGATCACAGGTGTGGCAGATACTAAAAGATCAATGGGGACTGATATAATCTTTAAATTAGGTTAATTTCAAACAAAACCAACAACAATGGAAAAAACAAATATCCAGAACCCTAAAGTCCTAGATAGATACTTGGAATACATGCCTCAAAATATTTTTAAAGGTGTGCATGCTGAGCTGCATGGAGAGAACACTAGAGATGGGATGTGTTAAGTACAGCTTTTCAGGTGCCCCACTCAGAGCTGAAAAGTAACTTCTCAGCAAGTGCTCAGTTGTCCATTTCAGCTCCATACCTGGACACTGGCAATTAAAAGTGCCCTTGATCAAGACAGATCATATCTTCCATTTTTTTCTCTGTACAGTAGCAGAGTTCCAGCAGTTCAAAGATGAGAGGTAAAACTACATAAGCCAAAATCTCTTACAGGCAGCCCTCAGATGACAAAAGTGAGAGCAGGTTCAGTAGCTCAAATTTAGGTCTTGGTATAAGCACAACCAAATTGGAAAGGATTAGGAGATCAATCTTTTACCAAGCGTTGTTGGCAGGCAGCTATCCTGCATCATACCTCAGGAAAAGAAGAAAATACTAAACTAGTTTAAGTTAACATGCACTTCCACAAGTATAGTGGAAGGTAAAGTCTCAAATGTAAGACACAGACAGCTCTGACTGTCAGATGCACAAGGAGGAGACTAAAGGAAACTCACTTTACAGGTGTTCTGGAAAAGAGGTAAAGGACAGGGAGGAGACTGAACACAGGCATCTTAGAGCAAGAGCAAATAAGAACAAATCCATGAAAAGGAAGACAAAAGAGAGGGGGTAAAGAGAGAAGACACAGGCAAACATTATACAACACAACTGCTCCTGATAGGAGACAGACACACGGGGCTAAGAAAAGACTTAGTTCAAACACTTAATAATGGAAAAAGGGATCTTCTCATCCCATCTGAACTGACCCTGTGATTACAGCACAGTCCTCAAGGGAGGCACAGTTCTGTCTGAATTTCCCTAAATAAAGGAGAATGAAAAGAGCAAGAGCCCTGGTATACGGTTTAATCCCTAACTTGCAGCACAAGATCACACACTGCCATTAGTATGCTTGAAAGAAAAAAACCACAGGGTTTCTGCTATTTTAGGTGTGCTCCAAGAATCTCTGCTGGAATGAGACACTAACACAACTCCAAAAGGAGGCCCTCGTTTCTGGCTGTTCACTGTGGCTTTTGGCACCCTGATAGGGGAACTGCCCCTCTCTGTCAAGCCAAAAATGATCCTGTGCTCCCACAGGAGACTTTCCATGTATCCAGAAAACTGTTAAGTTCATTAGCTGTGGTTCCTACAGTTTAAACATTTCCACCACCACAGACAGTATTTAATGTTTCCCACTTTAAATAAGTTCTAATTTGGCTAAGGCCCTCCAGTCAGACTCTCCAGACTTCTGCTCAGTATACGAAGATGGGCACAAGTGTCGGTGCACAGAGAGGGGAGGGGGCTATGCAGCTCTCCCCACAGTGTGTCTGCGGCAGGTTCCCGTGTGCTCACACCACAGACAAAACAGCTTCCCCTGCTCTGTTTGTGTCACAGAGCAGCACTACACAAGCCGCCGTGTTCTTATGCGCACTAAGCACATTACTCGACGCAGACTAAAATGAAGCCAAATCGCACGTTTTCCGTCCGAACCGAGGGCACCTTTGGGTGAATCCCGACAGATCGGCACTCACCGAGCAGCAGACTGGCGTTCATGCAGTCGAAGAGGACTCCGCCGAGCACCGACCCGCCCAGGTAGCCCAGGGAGCGGCCCACGAAGATGTAGTAGATGTCGCTGACATTCTTGCGCACGTTGGCGGCCAAGTTGGGGAAGGTGGGACCC